GTTGTGTAGTAATGGATAGAGATAGACGTAATATTTTATGTTAAAGAATGAATTTATAAAAGTTTAGGAGATGAAAACATATTATCGATAGAAAATGCAATTAACATATCTAAAATATATAAGATTTTAAAATTTTCAAAAGATGACCACCCCACAACCACTCTTCTAAGTCGATCTCTGATAATAGGAATTTTGGAAACATTTTGTAATATTACTAAATAGATTGGAACATCTTTTACCTGAAAATGGGAATTTTGTACACCCAAAATGTAACCCTCTAAAACAAATGTTCCATGTTGGGTGTAAGCCAGTAGGTCATAATGTAACATTGAAGTTTCTATGTTCTCTTGTGTACAAGGACATACTTATAAAATTTAAAATATAAGAGAATTTAAAATTTTTAAGAATATTATTGCCTCCACATATCCCTCGATCCATCTTTGTTTGTGTCCATACTTCGACGAATGAATTGCATGAAATTCCTAGAACTGAGACATTCTAGAAAAACTTTTATATTAAAGGATTGAAACTAATGTTAGTGTTTTTCATTCAATTTGTGCCAACAAAAGCTAACATCAGTTTCTTCAATGGATTATTTACTCATTTGATCCCTCAATCTCCCTATAATTTACTCTCTTTTCTAGGCTCAAATGGCCCCGATTCTTACCCAAAATGAGACCCAACATGCTTCAGGGTCCAATTATGATTCTACACTGGCCCAAGATTATCCCAGATCACCATCCATGCGTTGACTCGAAAATTCGTACTATTACATCTTATATAAAATATTTTTTTCACCACATTGTATAACAAAATCTAATATTTACTAGTGTTAAAACTTGTCCTTAGCATACTACATGCTAATTAGTTATAAGTTCAATACTATACTAGTATTTAAAGATAAAAATATTGATTATCAAAATAAATAAAAGTGAAAGAGTGTTAGAATTTGATTCATAATTTTCTCGTTAATCTAATATCACTTTTAGTCTAATCTTATTTTAATACCATTTTTTATATTTTATAAGCATTAAAACAACATTTTTTTATATAAACAAAAAAATACCATAAAATGAGATCATCTTTTAAAATAAAATTATAAAATAAGAACGAAAAGACATAAAAATCTTCCTTGTATGATTATTTTTTCAATCACACCCTGTCATGGCGCAATTCCCCATTTTGTGAGAACAAATTTGAAAATTTCTTTTATGATTATATCTATTCAACACAAATTTATCATTATTATTAAACTAAAATTGAGTAAATTTTTATCAACAATTTCATCAACTATATTTTATTAAATCAATTCCTTCATTATTAGTAGAATTTGCACTTCAGTTGCAAATTTCAAGTACAATTTATATATAATTTAAATTATTTTAAAAAAAATTCTATAAATTGTTAAATATTTTTCAAAAGTATAATTTAAAAAAAAACTTTTATAATTTTTAAAAAAATGTAAGTTTTCATATATTAATTTTTTTTTAAAAATTAAATTTTTTTAAAACTATTGTTTAGAAATATTTAAAAAATACTAAAATAAAGTTTTTAGTTATAATTGAGATGTCAAATAAAATATTCAGTTAATTTTAATGTATCACATCATCCTTTAATAGAAATTATCGACAATTTACTGTGCGTCCTCTATTATATAAAATATCCAATATATATTTTTTAATTTAAAAAATTAATGTTAAAAAATTATTTTTTAACTTCACCTTTCATTCCATGAATCTCATTTTCTAAGAACATGTATTACAGCGCAATACGTGTGCTTACGGAAAATTTTATAATGCATGCCACACAGAAATGTACCACTTATTTTGTAAGGTAAAGTTTAAAAATGATCACTAAATTATACTAAAATAATCCTTTTGGATATTAAACTTTTAAAAGTTACACAATATCGCATTGAACCTCTCAATTGTATTGCAAAAAGAATAACGTCTTTAATTATCACTAAAAAAATAATGTAACATGTTAAATGAGTAGAAAATATCTTATTCAAACTCTCAATTTTAAACTAAATTTCAGTTTGATATTTTTTTTACTTGAAGTAATAATTTTAAAAAATCAATTATATATATATATATATATTCACTATTCATTTTTAAAATTATAAAAGCGTTTTTTTTTAATTATAACTTTATAATTAATCTTTTAATTTGTGAAATTATAATTATTTTTTAAAAAAATGAATTTATTAATTCACAAAAAAAATTATAATTACTTTTTTATTTAATTGTAATTATATTTAAAGATTTATAATTTTTAATTTTTGAGATCCAACAATTTCAGTTATAAATAATTTTTTAGTAAACAATGTGATTCAATTCTTTAAATTTTTTTAATAGTTTTAAATATAATTTTAAAAAATATATTTATAATTTCAAAAATAAAGTTTGAAAATCCCTACATTTAAAAATTTTATTTTTCTATTTTTTTGAAATTACTACTCAAAATTATTGAAAATTATCAAAAACAAAATTTTAGTCACAATTGATGGAATAAATGAGATATTTTTTTATTAATTTAATATGTCATATTAGTCTTTAATGATAGTTAAGTGTCAATATTTCTTTTTAACGAAATCCAAAATTTAATACTCATTTTATAATTTTTTAAAAGTTGAATGACTAAAAAGATCGTTTTATCATAGTTTAATAATAATTTATAAATTTATACCTATACATATTGGTGTGTGACATGCGATGTAGAGTCAACCATAAAGAAGGATTATAAAATTCTAAAATTAACTATCATGATTTATGAAGAGATGTTTAAGGGGAAAAATTCTACAACCTAATGAATTAAAAACGTAAGAAACAAAATATATCAAATTAATGTGGTAACGTGGTGCATTGTAACATGATACAGTGACGTCATCTAATTTTTTATCATTATTGTCGCTTGACAGTAGGGATGGCAAACGGGTACAGTTTCGTGGATTCTGCACCGCATCCGCTTCAATTGGAGCGGGGATGGGTATAATTTTAGCGGGTAGTGGGCAAGTGTGGATTTATAAAGTGGTACCCGTCGTGGGTGGTGGCCGGGTAATGGGTTTGAGACATTACCCGTCCCGCATCCACCCGCATCCGCCCGCCCCACATCCGCACTAACCACGTCACTTTCCATGTTCTTTAGCCCATGTTGCCCATCCAAACACAAATTAGTCGTACTATAAGCATTAACATCAAAAACAACAGTTTTCATGTTCTTTAGCCTCTCAAAACCCATATTAGACGCACTATGAGCATTAACATCGAAAGCAACACAACAATCCAGCTCTGCGACTACATGCTCCCTACAATCTGTCTCCATAACATTCGTAGAGCTACTCCTCTGACAAATTGAAGCATGCGCTGCTACCCCATCACGAACTGTCTGGGAACCAACTCCAACATCCCATTAGTTTGCTGTCAGGCGGGTCTAGATAGGTATGTCGCTAGTGGGTAGTGGGTGTGGGGATGGATTTAAAAATATACCCGCGTGGGCGGGTGTGGATTTGAAAATTTGTACCTACCATGGAAGGTGGGCGGGTGGTAGATTGAAAAATATTAGGTGGATTTAAACGTACCCGACCCGCCCGTTTGCAATCCCTACTTGACAGCCTTCCCTCTCAAATAGAATCACCGTTGACCTGTACGAGAGAGTGTGGTACGTTGAACTCGATCTGATTGTGAGAGATGCTAACCAAACAGTTGATGGATCTCTAGTTATTTGCAGTTCGATTCCACCTAATCTCGACTTGTACCCTCCGAATCCCCAGATTCCATGCAACTTGTAACCCCTCAAGCAGTCCCCATAACTCAGCATCCAAAGTTGTGCAACACCCAATAGCCTTGGTAAAACCCGATACCCAGGTGGTTCCTAATTACGCCTCTGTACGTCGCTAAACCAGAATCCGTTCTTCGAGACACATCAGAGTTGAGTTTAAACCATTAGACCGGTGGAGGTTCCCAGCGGCGAGACCTATCCACGCATAGACGATAACCGGCGATGGCTTCCCTCCTTGCCTCCCTAGCACGCACAGCCCCTGTTGTCAGTCTACAACTTTCATGGAACACGCTTTCATAAGAGTAAAAATTAGGATCGAAAATCAAACAATTCCTTCTCTTCCATAAACACCAAATGACATTTCCAAACTATAAATCCCAATCAACCGGCACGACCGGAAAGCGTGGCCGACCACGTAAGTTTTCCTCGACCCAACTAACTATGTCGAGTTGCATGAACTCACTCATGAGTTCCGGTTTAATTACATTTACCCATGTCTTACATGCTACCACACAGTCCCGGAGAATGTGTGAAATAAACTCAACCGCAACACCACATATTGAGCGGCCCGGATCCAAAGCCCATGCACCGTCGCACCCTTTCCTCGTTTGATGGCAATCTGTTCTTGCAAATAAGCCACAGCAGAGATCTAACTCTAGGCAAACCCTGATAATTTGATAAGAGGTTCCAGATGGGCTGGTCGATCTCCTCAGCAACTGATAACCTTTGCATGTAAGCCACATATATATTGATCCTTGATTATATGCAGCGAAGTATTGTGTTGTATATCTAGATGACAATTTTCTTTTTAGATATAAGATTTCGACATTGTTTTTCAACATTTATATCCACCCATCGCTACTTTTTGGCATTGACGAAGATACAGACTGTAAGAAAGCTCTGTAAGGCTTGTAAGATTAACAAATTACATGTTAATCTGTTTAGATCCAAATTATCGTTTTTTTGTAATTTATTTAATTTTTCTCGTCTGACCTCAATCCATTTATATTATGGCCGAGCCAACTAATTATTTGCTTTTTTTTTTAATATCTCCACACGTCGAGTGGTTTTGGATGGGGTTAATTGGTACTTGATGTTTATAAGGTTTACTATTTTAATGGATAAGATCAATCCAAAAGTGGATCAGAGGACACCATTATACGAATCCTAAAAGCTGATGTATCCAAGTCAGATTAATCAAATGCTATTGGGATTTGAGATGGCATTTCATGTTAGAAACAATATACAGATATGAACCACCCCCTTGTCTACCTTACATCATTCAAATACAAAAAAGTTCATCGCCTAAATTGGTCCCTACTGAAGAAAGGATGCCTTAGGGCTTCACGAGCTGTGAGCCTATCCTTTGGGTCGTACCTGAGCAATCCTTGCAACAAATGAATCAAGTCCCCCGCCGAATAGTCCACATGCTGCATTACAAGGTTCTTCAACACAAACAAAACATACCCATCACTTTACACATTACATTTACCAATCAAACCATACTTTATCAAAAAAAGTCTCTGATGAAGATAGAAACCTGGAGACGAGGTAGCTTAAGCACTGCTTTGATACTCTCCCTAGAGGTTGCACCATCCGGCCAATCTAATCGCCCTCTTCTAACATACTTCTCAGAATGATGGCTGGAATATGAGACATTTTTACCATTAATTTTAGCTTTCGAGTGCAGACAGTATAACTTATGGCAAGATTACACAAGTAAGAACACGCACTCTACTCTCTTCAACATGTGCTGAGGTAGTGAACCCAACACTCGCTCCATCATGGCAAGGTGCTCTAGATTCTCATGTGTTTGAAACAGTGCCTCACCCTGTTAAAATATCAGACTAGTTGAATAAAAACACCTCACACCTACTGGAATCATCTAATAGAAGCCAGAGAATCAATTTTCTGAACATACGGTGCATAATTCAACTAAAATGCAACCAACACTCCATACATCACAAGGATAACTCCATCCGAGTCCTATAAAACAAAATATCAGAAATTACATCCATCATCTGACCATTTTCTAAAAACATCAATAAAACATGAAAATACATACCAAGAATAACCTCCGGAGCACGGTAATGTCGTGTTGACACAATGTAAGTCTGATCTTGGCGCTCATAAGTAGTGCTACCGAAATCTATTACCTTAATAGCACTTGTTTTTGGCAATCTTCTAAAGTAAGACTTGTCCTTTGGAGATCGTGATGCACCCTGTCAGAACAAAAAATATATATTAAAATAAAATTTATTCAAGGAAAATACCTTGTAATCAGGTACTTGAAACAAAACCAAAGACTAGCAGGGCTTCTACAAAAGATACTGTGCTACCAAGATTAACAATGAAATCTGGTAAAGGAAAATACCTTGTAATCAGGAACCTTGACATACTCTGGGGAGACTAGAAGAATGTTCTCTGGCTTCAAGTCCGTGTGTATCAGACGCAAATCATGCATGACTGAAAATTTAAACAAAAGAAGAATATAAGAAACCAGTACCAAAGAGAGCATAGTAATTGACACCCTGTTATACACATATATAATTAAATTGAGGAATTCTTGTAAAGATTTAGCAATCAGAAACAATAACAGAACAAAAAAAATTTCACGAAAGAGATAGGCAGAGAAACTAGGTTAGTCGTTACTACACACATGCTACACAATCCAACAGTTGTCTGCCAATCTCACGGACAAGATCAATGGGAAATGAGCGATAATTGTTTTTGCGTAGAAAATCATACAAGCTTGGTCCAAGCTTCTCAAACACCTGTCCAAACCATTTAAATTCACCGAGAAGTTTTAAGTTTAACCCCATACTATTGGTGAGCAGGGGAAACAAATCCATCACAAATTAATAATATACTTACAATACAAACATGGTTACGATAGTCAAACCAGTTCCATATTTGCACACAACTGCAAGGAATGAATCCATTTAACCATAAAAAACTTCAAAAAGGATGGTTACAAAGTAGCTAGTTACAGTAAAATTAAAAGTAATTACAATGCTAGTGAGGACTCACCGGTTGCCATCCTTATCATGTTTTCTAAGCTGTTCCAACATTTCAATCTCAATCATGGCTGCTTCACGATACTTCTTAATTCCACGAACAATTTTGATGGCAACCATCTCTTTCTTCTCTCTGTCCCAGCATTCTAGAACCTGACCGAAGGTACCTGTAAAAAATGAGGATCAGGGAAGAGGTCCCTAAAATAAAAGATGGCATCGCTAAGATATAGGTGAATGAATGGTGCAGTAAGTTCATGAAGGTGTACCTTCACCCATTTTGCTTTGTATCTTATCTGCAAAATAAGATAAATGAAATTAGAAACAAAAAACAATTATAAACAATCAACTATGTTCGCTTCTTCAATATTCAACTACCAAGAATTCTCAAACATGTAGATTTGTTTATAATGAAGACAAAAGTGAGATTTACAGCGAGAGGTTAAATTATCTCCAAGCTCAAACATATAATGTCCTTCTTTGTCATCATGTCGCCATGGGGGAGAACCATTTTGAGCCACTCCCTTTAGAACTACAGACGATCTAGTAGTAATAGTACTAGCATAATCTGAAGGTGCTCTTGCAGTGGAAGAAGCTAAGCCCGTCACTTTCCCAACTTGAGCACAAAGCATTCCTACCTGAGCCTACACACAGCCATTCATTCATTGCACCACTAAGACATTAAAATCAGCACTTTTTAACCCTTCCAAATTACCTTACAACCCCCTCTTCTCATTCACCAAAATTAACATAACAAAAATATATGCTAATTTCTAAAAGAAGCTTCAATGTAAAAAAATCCCACAGTAAACAATATTTCAACGTAAAATACACGTTCTAGAGAAATTTTACGTTTTTCATTATAGCGACCAGAATTTCTTACAAATCCCTATAAACGGGAATTATTTTCTAAAAAAGAGTAATTTTATATATAAACTAAATTATATAATACTCAAATCGATCAGATGAACGAAACAAATAACATCAGATCCGAAACAAAAGCCACGAAAACACGCAAATCATAAATTCGAAACCCTAATTTAAGGTAAAGAATTAACCAGATCTGAAACAAAAGCCATGAAAATACACAAATTATAAATTCGAAACCCTAATTTGAGCAAATAAATAAATAACCGGAACAACAAAGCGCAAATCAAAATCGAAACAAAGATCTGATCGAAGATAACACGATACCTGCGGCGGCAACTGAGTTACATCCCAGCCCAATCGTGGACGCTTTCTAGGTCGCCGATCCATATGCATATGAGGGAACTCCGTCATGTGCTCCATCTCCATGATCGCAAATCCCAAATCTAAAAATTTCTTCTTCTTTTTTCCCGAGAAAGAGACAGAAAATCTGGGAAATCCCTTTTTCGATGAATAAAATAAAATAAAGCAAAAGCACGTTCTTGAAAAATAAAATTAAAGAAGACGATAAGGTTTTCTTTTCTTCCTTGCGAACAAAGTAAAAGCGCGTCCTCCCCCGAGCTTTTAACCTAACAGCTAACGTGGTTGTGATGATATCTGGCTGTACAAGTGTCAGTCGCACCGCCGTTAGTTTGATCGAATATGCCAACTAAAATGTGCTAAATTCTTAATGGATGTTAATAAGCTGGGTTAATTCTAATGTCATACCCAAACTATGTTAAAAATTTTAAATTGGTCCAAACCTTTAAAATCTTCTAACTTAGTTCATAAAACATCAATATTGTATCAATTAAGTTCATAAAACCATTTAATTTAGGATTTGATTTTAATTTTAATTCAATTTAGTCCACATTTCTTTTATGCTATTTATATTAATGTTCTTTTAATCCTTTTAATATTTATTATTTCACTCCTATTAATTTTTTTTGTAATTTTTATCCTTAAATTGCTCTATGCCTTTAATTTTATATAATTCAATTTTTCTTTTACTTTTACCACCTTTCAATCTCATCTATGGAATAATTGTTACATCTTACATTTTAGTTAATTAATTTTACCTTGTTTGCAGTTTAGACAAGTTTTAATTTATGCTTTATTTTCATTTATAAGCCAACATTTTTTGCATCTATATTATTTTTGTCCTTATGTTATTTACATGTTATATTATATGTATATTATTTTTATACATACTTTAATATTTATTATACTTATAGATATTTTAAAATTTTTGGTTAATAAGTGAAATTTATTGGTTACTCACGTGGATCATTAATTAAATTAAATTTAAATTCATAGTTTCAATTATTACGACAACGACATAATCGATTAAGTATAGAAAGGGCGTTGTGGGATTGATAATCTTTCCCTACACATAACTGATTCTCGAACTCATTTTCTGGTAAAAAATAAATTTTATTAAAATAATAAACTTTTCTAAGTGATTCAGTCACATCTTAAAATAAATATTGATGACGATTTTTGAACTACATATTTTTAAGACAGGAAAACATGATTCGTCAAAGTGTTTTAAATTAAAACACTTTTTTAAAGATGTTTAAATAAACGTACATACGGATAGCACATACTAGTGAATATCTTTCATGTCACATATACTTGCATCACATACATACTTATAAATAAACATGACATTATATGATTTTAGGGTCCGTTTATTTTCTTATAATTGATTTTCGGAAAATGTTTTTCTTGTTTTTTAGTGTTTGGATAGTGGAAAACAGTTGGTAAATATAATTTATTTTCATGGTCAATTGAATTTCATTTGCATTTTCTAAAAACTGACTTACATATTGATTTTTCGTAAGTCATTTTATGAAGTTTTCACATCAAAGCATAAACACTCAAGATTTAATTATTTTACGTTTTGGAAAGTGTAATTTATTTTATGGAATTTATTGTATGAAAATTGTTTTTCGTTAAACAAACAGACCCTTAATATAAATTGATATTCATAAGTCAATATGAAAATCAATAGTCAACCATAGGTAATAAGCATCTTCGTGAGATCACACTGTCACTTAGGTCCTTCAAACCATGATCGAATTACATGACTTCAAAATAACTTGCATTGTCTTCTTATTATATTACAATAAAATTCATTATCACTAGATAAATAACTTTATAATAAAATAAATCGCAAGCCATATTTAAAATTTACAACCCATTGTAAAACAATAATAAAATAACTTATCATTCACATTAACCTAAAATGTCATACTATGAATCATACAATAGATAAAACTTTATGCAAAAATACCATGTTATCCTCTAGTGCATACAGATTGCATAAAGAATATATGTTATTTAAAATATGGTGTTTAAACCAATTACACTATAAAGATCTTCGTACCCTACGTTAAGGTTTTACGTAACTCATATATATATATATATATATATAGAGAGAGAGAGAGGGTAAAATACTCAAAATGATTCTCTGACTATTTTATTAAGTCCTTCAACTATTTAAAATCATAAAATGATCTTTCGATTATAAAGTGTTGCATTATAAAATGGTCATAGATTATTCATTATGTTTTAAATTTGTTTTTTTTATTAAAAAATTGACAGTATTCTAAGTTAAACATTAATCTGTTAAGTGTAATATGATTCCAAAATCTTAAATGACTATCGTATCTTAATCATTATGTTAACGTCCAATTTAGACAATCACCATTTTTTAACAGAAAATAACGAGTTTGGAATATAATGAATAGGCAGATAAAGATTTTGTAAATTTTAATAGTCGAGAGACTTAACAAAACAATATTCTATACTCGAATGATCATTTTATAACTTTTTAATAATCGATAAAATAAACAAACCAATATCTTATATTTATATATATATATATATATATGGAAATTTTACAGCACACGTCGCACACTGCAATGCATCGTTAAAGCGACGTACCGTAACACACCATAAGTAAAATTATCCTTATTATGTAAATATTAAAAAGAATAATGATTTATTTAAAATTAATCATTTATTGAAATTTAATTTTACTTTTAGTAGAATTATAAATAAATTATAAATTTTTTATTAAAAATTAAATAAATCTCTCAAATCCAAACATCAAAAACAAATTTATCACTAAAAAATCCAACATTGTTCACCTAATTCCCAGCTGCAAATTAAACATGAACTCAGTTTTATGGCCTTTCGAAATTGTTTCTCCATACTTCTTAATTTCATTACTAAATCAATTCTTAATTTCAATACTAAACCAACAAGTATTTCTTCTATTTGCTTAAACCCATCATTATAAATCAACGAAGTCTCGAGATTATCGAGTATATCGCAAGTAATATCCCCTGCTCCACCATCACTTTCCCCTGAGCAAATGCTCCCCATTCCATCAACGGACGATCTTTTCCTCAGTATAACAACCAAATTCTCCCCTCCTTTAACGCAATGCTCTTTATCGTCGGTTTAACTGTTGAATTTTCTGCATATTATCTTCGTTCCACGGTCCGATATAACAACTCCCGTCCGACCAGGTGACAATCCTATTTCCCTTGGGAACTCTGTTATCCCATTTCCCATCGTAACGATTCCCGTTATCCTAAATCAGGATTCCGCGGCCAGAGATGACACCATTTTTTCATTCCCCGATGTACTCGTTCCTGTTACTGCAAACGTAATTGTCGTACCCCTCTTGCAGGTTTTTCTTCCACGATCTCCCCATTGGCGTAATGTTTGTAGCCGTAACAGTGTTTTCGATCGACGATCCACGATAAGCGTCACCATCAGAATCGATGAACGTCTGTATCCTTCCGTCATTGTAAAATTTATTTTTAATAAATAAATAATTTTATACTTTTTAATATTTATATAATAAAGATAAATTTATTTTTAATGTGTTTCGATAAGTCGTTTTAATGATTCGTTGTAATCTGCGACGTATGCAGTAGAATTATCTTTTATATATATATATATATATATATATATATATTACAAAGTTCTAATTTGTGACCAAACATTCAACAGTCGATCCTCAATAATGATAAGCCGCTATCAGAAATCAGTGTAGGATGAACGGCTCTTCCCTCATTGGTTAGTTGCTTTGACAAAGGACGAGTGTTGATAAGCAAAAGATAACGTTCCTGAATATTACTAAACGTGTAGTGGACGGTGAATGAAAGGTCGTCTCTTCCGTCTTGCCATTCCAATCGTCACTAATGGCTTCCCTTCCATGGCTTTTAGCATCATCAACCTTCCTTCTTTTTCTCCTAAAATTTCTCTTCAAACAGATATTCTCTACCAGAACAAAACCCAATCTTCCCCCGGGCCCTCCCAAGTTACCCATCATCGGAAACCTTCACCAGCTCCGTGATCCCAACCCCCACATGTGTCTCCGCCGCCTGTCCAACAAGTTCGGCCCAATACTATACCTGAAGCTCGGCCAGGTCCCCACGGTGGTGGTTTCATCGGCTAAAATGGCGGAAGCAGTGTTGAAAACTCACGACCTTTCACTTTCCAGTCGCCCGACCATCTTTTCAGCTAAACATTTGTTCTATAATTGCACTGATATTGCCTTCGCCCCCTACGGTGCTTACTGGAGACATATCCGGAAACTCTGCATCCTTGAGCTATTGAGTGCTAAACGAGTTCAATCGTTTAGCTTTGTTAGAGAAGAAGAGGTTGCTCGATTGATCAGTAGGGTTCAAGAATCTTGCTCTTCTACTGTTGATCTAAGCAAAATGTTAGGATTGTATGCAAATGATAATCTTTGTAGAGTTGCATTAGGAAGAGATTTCTCACATAGAGGAGAATATGATTGCCATGGATTCCAAAAGATGCTCGAAGAGTATCAAGAGTTACTTGGAGGGTTTAGCATTGGAGATTTCTTCCCTTCCATGGAGTTCATCCACAGCTTGACGGGTTTGAAACCGAAACTCCAGGACACCTTCCGGCGATTCGATCGGTTATTCGACGAGATCGTAAACGAACACCGTATTCGACGAGATCATAAACGTAACCAGGAACACACTAAGGACCTGTTGGATGTTTTGCTTGACATACTGGAAAACAAATCTGATGGGATTCATCTCACCATGGACAATGTTAAAGCCATCATGTTGGTGAGTACGAGCTTCGTACATGTCGTTTTTAGAGAATGAGCATACGTCTAATTATAGATTTTTGCAGGACATGTTTGCTGCAGGAACCGATACCACTTTCATAACTCTTGATTGGGGAATGACAGAACTTCTCATGAACCCAAAAGTGCTCGAAACGGCTCAAGCGGAGGTCCGGAAAGTTGTAGGGGAAAGAAGAGTGGTCTTAGAAACTGATTTGCCTCGGCTTGAATACATGAAAGCTGTCATTAAAGAGACGTTCCGGTTGCATCCTCCAGCACCGGTCTTACTCCCAAGAGAATCGATGGAAGATGTTACGGTCGACGGGTTCGATATTCCGGCCAAAACAAGGGTTTTCGTCAATGCATGGGCGATAGGGAGAGATCCAGAGTCATGGGAAAACCCGGAATCGTTTATGCCAGAAAGGTTTCTCCATAGTGCGATCGACTTCAAAGGGCAAGATTTCGAGTTGATACCGTTCGGAGCTGGCCGAAGAAGCTGCCCAGCTGTAACGTTTGGCACGCTGAGTGTTGAGTTGGCATTGGCGCAGCTACTCCATAGCTTTAATTGGGAGCTTCCACCGGGAACTGAAGCTAAAGATTTGGATCTTAGAGAAAACTTCGGCATCACAATGCATAGGATAGAACATCTCATGGTTATTGCCAAACCACATTTCCCCTAGGACAGGGCATCCTTGACTGCTCTGTAAAACTATGTCCTGATGTAAACTATAATGCAGAATAATATAGTATACAATATTTAAAGATGGTCCCTCTGTTAAGCAGGCCAGTCTTTAAAGTAGTTTGTTTCGAATGTTTAACAAACTGAATCTATTCAAATTAAATATTAATTGAACTTTAATCAAATTAAACTCAAATAATTAATGACGTGTTTCGTTTCATTTACAACTCTAATAATATCGGATTCTTCCGAGGGAAGGGTTCATGCAAATAGAGATGAAGAGAACAGAATTTTAAATATTAAATTAAAATTGGGAAAATTATGGAATGAAACATCAAAGTTTAGGGCTTTTCATAAATAGCACCAAACTTTCCAAACTTTACATTTTCCTTGAATTTCAGAATCCTTTCAATTTAATCCCTAAAATTCATAATTTTCTCAAATAAGTTCGAAATTATATCTTAGGCCAAATTAAAATTTTGAATAATCACAATAAAAAAATACTAACCTTGGTTTTTTAGTGTGACACTTGAGGTTTGAGAAATTATAATATACTTAGTTATTATGAGAGACATGTTTGAACAATAGTAATATTATATCACTTCTAAATTATTGAAAATATGCTGCTAGAAAACAAATTTTTTAGCATTAACAAGTAAAATAAATAGAGAAAATTAGTTAAAGTGTTTATTTTACTATGAAAATCTACTGTGTTAGAAATGATTTCACTTTAATCGATGTAATAAAATGGACATCGTGGTCAAAATTAACATAAAAGCTTTAATATTTATATACCCAAATAAATAAGATAAAACTCATTAGATATTTAAGCACGAATCACCTTATCTCAATGGTTAAATGAATCTTTCTTGTTTTTAGAGATCACGAGTTTGAGTACCAACAATTGCAACAGAGTGATTGAGCGTTCATTGTCAAATAATTGAGAGTATTTATAACATATTTTACTTTATAATCACTTTACCGAGGAGACCCATGTTTTCGTATTACGTGTAAAATAAGAAGGCAAAGTTGATTACTCTTGTTTCAGTTTTATAAACGTATGACCACTCAATAGAAAATGATAAAACTGACCAATTCTATAGTTTACCCGAATGAGAAATAACCAGTTCCATTTGTAAGAGTAGGGTTGAGCGTTCGATCGAGTCGAGTCAAAATATTTCGAGTTGACGGGTTTTATTTTACAACTCGGACTTGATTTGAATTTTTTTTTAGTCGAGTCAATTTTTTGAGTTTCTGTTTAAATTTAATTGTAAACATTTATAATAATATTTAATTCCCATTAAATGACTTTCTATAACCATATATATATAATAGAAATATATTTCCTCATATTTTTTTTCATATGTGATATACATACATCATACAAAGTCCAATGACTGCACTCAAACTTTAAAATAAATCCACTAATTACTAAAAATTTTGAGTTATTCGAGTTACCTTTTACAACTCGATTGAACTTGAAATTTTTTCGAGTTGAGTCAAGTTTATGAACATGCAACTCGGAGTTAATTTGAGTCGAGTTTTTTTTAGTCGAATCGAATTGAAAAACTCGTTTTTTAGTCGAGTTTTGCTCACCCCTATGTAAGAGTTACTCCTAAAAACTAAATCTCAAATTGAATTTGGCGCCTAAAGATTTATTTTGTTAAAAATAGGAGTCTAATATTTTCTTCGTTACACTTTTACCTGCCTACTGTTAAAAAATCGTTAAGTGACACATAATTTTAAAAATTGAACGTGGCACGTCACTTAACGATATTTTTAACGTGAACACCTAAAAATATAACTAAGAAAATATTAGATGCTTATTTTTAACAAAAAAATCTTTAAATACCTAAAAATATAATAAACCAAAAATAAATAATGTGTCTGATGTAAGGTACTCATACCTTAAATTGATTGTGGATCTAAGAAGGAAGCAAAACAACCTGTATAAGTGAATGACTCAAATAGATGGCTTGGTAGTTGATGTAAAGGTGAAATGGAGGGCTATTTATGTTATGAAGTTGGTAGCGGAAGTAGATTGATATGGCTATGAAATGGCTTATGAAAGAAAGGATGGTTGGTGAGGATAGTATCTTAGAAAGACCAAGGAAGAACCAATGCTACAATGAGCAAAGACCCAGCCTTACAAATCTCTCTAAGGGATGGTAGAAAAAGACTTGGACCCACTATCTATAAAGAGATAGGAACCACAAGTATCAATGGAATAGAGGTTGACACCACAAGTAAGAACTTACTTGATAAGTTGATAAAAGTCACAAGGACTTGAGAAAAGAGAATAATCTCACTTTAAATTATATGAAAAGTGTGTTTACAAATGAATAGGACTAGCCTATTTATAGAAATTGAAAGGACATGACCGAATGGATACATGGTGGTTCGACCAGTCCTTGTGTCCCTCTAGAATGACATAATTAATTAATTACATGCATGAATTGAAGGGTATAATGTTTGGGCTGAATGGAGGGGGCATGTCTCTTGGCCGAATGGTGCTTGAACCCCTTTAAGTTGGCGCCTAAATGAAACATTAGGAGCCTTTGATGAATGGTTAGCTTGTTTGGTGTTTGGTACGCCTAGGAGAAGTCCACATGCTTGGCACATGGTTTTTGGTCATAAGGCGTGCACATGGTTCTCTAGAAGGCTTATGGTGTAGCCTTAGGCATGTGATTAAAGACCAAACATGTGCAGCAACCTTGGGCGTGAGTTGTGCTACCTTCAAGCTTGCAAGTGTATAGCTAGCTAGCAATGCAAGGGCTGGTGGTGAAGGATCTTCTTAGCCATGAACTCCCAAGCTCCTTAGCATCACCTTTAGCTATGTTCAACTACATTTGTTGTCTCTTTCAGTAAATTGTCTTCAAATAGTCCAACTAGCTTAGATTAGCTAGCCTTGAGCTCCTCCAGTTGAGTTGAGCTTCCCATTATGTTCCATGAGCTGCCATAATGTTTGTGAGCTGCATATGGATTCCAAATACTCCAACAAGTTGCCCCAATGTGTGCCATGATTCCATGTACCTACATGTGCTAAGAAAACCAGGTAAATCAAAGGCATTGAGCTTGTATGATCCAATTACCTTGATGTCGTGCATGAATATGATCTTGTGAGCTATGAATGCATGTCATGAGCTAAGTACATAATGATATAACATGTGTAAGCTAATGTATAAGACTTATGAGCTGAAATGAATGCAAATGATATAATAAATGAATGATTAAGCATGCTGCCATTTCATGAAATAATTAAATTATGCTTAAATGAATGCAATACTAATCTAACATACTTGAAATAATATTGTGCATCAATAATAAAGATGTGGATATGCTAAGTTACTTTACTCATTAAATCACATAACTAACAACCTTATCATGATATGAATGATTCTTTCATATATGATAAGAATGATAAAAAGTAAGTAAAGTATTAAGATATTTAAGAATACTCCCTTTGCATGTGGTGAAAACATGCTTGCATCATCCCCCTTCTTTAGGGCGATTTGTCCTCAAATCGAAGCCTTTGATATGCTTGATGTGTTTATCATTGTGTTCTTCCAAATGCTTAGCTTTGTGTCCTTTTGTAAAAAGAAAGTATCCTTTGGACGAATGTGTTATTCCAATAGGTACCCTTTCACAAGATCTCCTATTAGGTCTTTCTTTAGAATATAAATTACCAACATGTATCTTTTTGGAATGATCTTCTTCTAAGCATATCCTTGTTGGAAGTGGCCTTTCATTTGGCTTTCCCTGAAAAGTGAAGAGACATGATGTTTCAAATGAAGGGTACTTACCTTTTGAAGACATGAATCATAATCCTTGATGAAGAGTTATGACTTTGAACCCCAACTATCACTATTATTCGTTAGAACCCCTTCATTTTCTAGCAACGACCCATAATACTTCTTCATGAAGAAGTTAGGTTTCATGTCTTGTCCACCTTCAATCTTTAGTGGTAGTTTGTCCTTTCGCAAGGCCTTGACACTCCTTCACATATGTATCTGATCTCTTTTGGACTTCTTTATGCGTCAAAGGTTCCAAAGTTACCTTGTGTCCTTCATGCATAAAGGAGTATTGGTTGTGATAACAATCATGAATGGCCCTTTTGTCATACTCCCATGGCCTCCAGAGTAGAATGTGGCTAGCATGCATATGGACAATATCACAAAGTGCCTCATCCTTGTACCTACTAATTGAAAAAGGAATTAGGACCTGTTTCGTAATATTTAACTCACCTCCTTTATTGAGCTTTTGGAGTTTGTATGGATTTGGATGCTTTAAGGTTTTCAAGCCAAGTTTATCTACCATAATAGTGCTGGCTACATTTGTGCAACTCCCTCTATCAATAATCATTATACAAACCTTGTCCTTGGCATGACACCTTGTGTGAACAAAATGATGTTTCTTTGTAGTTCCTCCTTGATTGATTGGGATTGGAGGCACCTCTTTGAAACAAGCATTTCGCCATAATCAACAATCTCTTTTGGCTCTTCTTCATAGATTGCTTATTGTTCCTCATCATGAACAGGTTCTTCGGAATCTGAGACAACATATCCATTGTCTAGTAATATCATAGTGTTTCGGTTGGGACATTGACTTGCAACATGTTCTTTTCCAAAATACTTAAAACACTTAATGTCCCTGGAGCTCTCGAAAGTGTATGTTTGCTTTTCTTTACCCTTGTTGGATTCACCCACTTGTATTATTTTGGATCCCTTAACATTATCCTTCACATGGATTGTGGTTGGCTTTCAGAAAGTATTAGGCTCTTGTTTCCATTTGGTGGCCGAACTTGGGCTACTCTGATTGAAGACCTTCCTTTTAATTTATCGTTCAATTTTCATGGCCATATGTACCATCTCCTCAATCTCTACATAATGTTGTAATTCAACAACATTAGCAATTTCAGGATTTAAGCCAGATAAAAACCTTGCCACGGTTGCTTCTATAACACCCCCGACACGTACCCGACCTGGATACGACTCTGAGGTGTCACATTAACTTCAACTCTTTGACTCTCTGAAAATTTGACTAAAATATTTCCTTTTATTGGACAAATGAAAAC